AAATGTTATATTTAAAACATTATTATACATATGTATAAAACATTTGTAATATATTTCGATCTTAACTCATTCTTTAAAACTAAAAGTTTGCAAACACGAAAATAAAAGAGCCTAAGCATGAGCAGAAAAAGTCTCTGTCCATACAAATTTTAGTTCAAAGCATACAAATTTGTTTCTCAGTCGGAAAAAGGTCGAGGGCTGTACCGCTTTTACGCCACGCGAGCTTTCTTCCTTTAATGCCAAAATGTAATAATCGCATTTATAGGAGGACACGACCTTTTCCCAAGAGGAAACGTATGGCTTCCTGGACTATATACGTGCATCATTATCATTTTTTCAATATTTTCCTTACGGAATCCTTTTGAATATCCTTCTTGAACGAATTTTCGAAATTTTCGCTTATTTGAGAAGCCGTTATCTCAGGTTTTTTTTAATAGTCGTAATATTTCACGCTAGGTTTACTTGCCAGAACGAGGTTTTGATGCTACGGAACTACTTTTCGAAAGTTTACTCTCGCTTACTGTTCACAAGAATGAGATCTTTTTACAATTCGACCTAATTCACGGAAATATTTTCCTTCTTTTTTTGGTTTTTTTGGTTTTGGTATACATATTTTTTTTCATCGCTGATAATGTCTCTTTTTAGACGCCATTACTATTCGAATTAAAACTGAGCACACAATAACCTCAGCAATCTTTTGAAGCGAAATAAGCCGCTAAGTTAAAAGGGGAATTGCCTTTTAGGAAGTAAACGGTAACCATTTCTTATTAAAAGTGCTGACATATTTTGTTTTAAGCATTAAAAAAAGCTTTTGTTAATATTACCTATTTTGAAAAGGGCAACATTTTATTAAAATATTGATGTTATGTTTATTTAAAAAGAAATAGTCTGGTTAATTAATGTATTACATGTATCCTTAGGAACCTTACGGTATTGAACCCATATATTTTGAAATCAGATCTAACCTTCAAAATMTATGTGTATATGCTTTACAGCCGGCCGGCCGAACATGAAAAACTCCAAAATAATTTTTGATGAACGTGAAGTGAAATTGATCGAAATGTGTGCGGCGGAAGCTCCAATCGACTACTAGACTGATTGCCTGTTATAACGTCTTATAAATACGACACTGACGACTACCCCACGGACGGTATTTTGTAAGATGTACCGATTTATCAATAAATTTAAAATTTAATACTCAAAGAGACCAAAATCTGTTTTTCCACAGAATTATACCAACTAAAGAAGGCGAACTTGATAAAAAAAGAAATTTTAGAAGCACTCACTGCATAAAAATATACTATAATTAAATGTATCCGTTATAAACTAAATTTATTTCTGTATTTTTATTTAGAACCTCTAAATAATTTTTTGTTGTTAATATAAAAATTTTTATTTATGTATTATTCCTCTGATGCCGGTAGACTCTTTGTTTTCACAATATTATTTCATATTCGAACTGCCGCGTGGTTTGTGATTAACTAAACTGTACTTTACCGTTATAAAATTATGAAAATATCCTTTCATTTGTTAGGAATGGTTTTTCCATACTGTTTGAATAACGATTGAAAAAGGACGCAGTTCCATACACATCATATCTAAAATCTGACTTTACATATTTGAAAATGTACTTGTAAAGGCTCGGGAGAGTCTTTTTATTAAAGAGAAAATGTTTGTACATGCGCTGAAAGGCTTGCTGAATTTCGGAGAGTTTTAACAGCAGGCACCGCTGACTGCTACCGGCGAAGGTCCGCAGCTACTCACATGATATGTGCAAATAGTAGACGAATGCCCCAGAAGTGAATTGGTTCGCCATCTCAAGTTTTGCTTCGGGATAATCGTTGTCCATACACATATACATTTTGTGCAGTTCGTTCAATTCAGCGCTACGCGCTTATGAATGTGGTTATATATGTAGGTATAATATACATACGGATACTATGTAGATACAGTACCAGCTACAGTACCAATGATGTCGCTCCACGAAGGGCGGCGGAATAAAGATGCAGAATCATCCCCAAAGCGAAATGTTCTCGGGCAGAAAAAGCATTATTCTTGCACTTCATAATGTAGTGGGAGTAGGACTTACCAGTACATAGCAGTTGGATCCAAGTAAACATACTTATGAAATATAGTATATGTACATATATAATATTATATATATGCCTACATACCTACACCTTTTTACCTATCTTGTAGTTGTATTAATTTACATATATCCTGACAAAATGCGAATATTCCACGCATCCATCGAAAATGTGTTTCACATGAGGCAGAGACTACTCCAAAATTACCCGAAACGCATAGAACAGGAAACCCTCTTATGATTCACAAAACCTCGTCTTTTACTCAATGAAAGTCTCGCTTTGCATTTCAAAAGTTATTGGCGTACCTTCAGAGGAAACAATGTCACCAAAAGTTTTTGTAAGAATATTGTTTTAATTATATTTGTAGAAAAGTTCCGGAAAAGTGTATATGTAGAATATTTAATGGTTCCCAAATTCGGCAACTAATGAAAGACACAGATTTGATCAAAGGGATGACCATTCTGGAAGGTGAAGCTTGGAGTATTGATTTCGAAAATTTCTAAGTTACCATAAAGTACAAAAATATAAAGAAATTGTGAACAATATTATGACAAACTCCCCAAGGTTGTGCGCTCTGACCCACCACCTAAAAAACACTACCAATGAAAAAAAGAATACCGCCACGGATAAGAGACCCCCCACCCCCCTTTTGATTGCTCAGTGGATGACGATGAAGCGGGCATTCCATTACCTGACCATGAAGACGCTCGAATGCCAATTACCGTTATGGGGCCAATGGATTGCCGGCCGACCTATTCAAATACACCGGCGAAGAAGTGATAAGAAGAATAAATCAGCTTCTTTGTAGATAGGAATTTATGTATTCTCTGTTCAATCCACAAAAAGGGGGATCCTACATTCTGCCCCAACTTCGGTGGGATAAACCTACTCAACATCGCATAAAGGGTTCTATCGAGCGTACTGGGCGAAAGATTAAAGCAAACTGCCAAAAAACTGATTGGACCTTTTCAGTGCGCTTTTAGGCCCGAAAATATCAACATCTAACCAGAGACTCACTATGCGCCAAATCTTGGAAAAGACCCCCTTGAAAATAGTATCGACACACACCACCTCTTCGTCGATTTCAATGAAATATCTCCTCTCATCAAATGAACAGTCATCAGACTCGCGACTCAGTTCCCACGTCACGTGACAGGGAAGACTTGGAACCAGTATTAACATCATCAACAATGTCAGCCTCGAAATGCAACTCAGAATTACTCTTGCGAACAGGTGCTACTTCGGGCTAAGTAGGCAACTTAGAAGTAAAATCCTCTCTAGACGCACAAAAATCAAACTCTATGAGTCACTTATTATTCCCGTCTGTCTATGTGGTGTCTATTTGGCAAAGACATGGACAAAGACAACATCTGATGAGCCTACGTTACGAGTTTTCGGGAGAAAGGTTTTTCAGAAGATTTATGGTCCATTGAGCATTGGCAGCCGTGAATATCGCATTCGATGGAATGATGAGGTGTACAAGCCATACGATGAAATTGACATAGTTAAGCGATTTAAGAGATAGCGGCTACGCTGTCTAGGTCACGTCGGCCGAATGGATGGAAACACCCCAGTTCTGATGGTATTCGACACAGTACTCGCCGAGGGAAGTAGAGGAAGACGTCCACCCTGTTGGAAACAGCAAATGGAGGAAGACTTGCCTACCCTTGGATGATGACAAACTTTCAGATTCTAGGAACATGTATGAGTATCAAGTCAAACTATCACCACAATCATCTGGGTAAATGTTCGGATAGTTTCGGAAATTGCAGTAAGAAACAGTAAGAGCAGTTCCAACTGAACTGGAACAACTGGAACGACTGAAAAACTAACCAAGAAATGCTAATAAGCGGCGATGTATTCTTAAATGTAAACAGATATATAAAGAAGAAACAACGGCGAACAATACAAAACAATCTCTTTAATAAAAGCATTTTCCAAAAGATAAATTTTAAGAAAAACCGCATTTATTTTTCTCATTGCTGTACACTTTTATATAACATATAGCATATACAAAAATACATAGTATGTATGTATGTATATACAATATATAATATATATAGGAATGTATGCGTGGTGGTGTTGCGGAAGGATGCTTGAGACTGCGAGGGGTATTTGTATGAAAGTTTGCCTGCCTCGAGGCTTAAATAAGCAAAGTCCCTGCTTGCGCGCTGTTTCAGCTCCAGCTGCAAATATTAAATCAAGGTAGAGGATTCATGTGAACATATATTAAACTATATACACACACATATACCGTTACACTTAAACGAGCATAAGATTACATGCAAATCCATTTGTAGGATGGCCTTTGGCATATGTACGTTCATGTGGCTATAGCTACGAGAATGCTCACAAGTATAGCATTTACAAATGTATATAGTATATACATATGTATCAATGCATGTACCATATGTAAGCACGTACATATATATTGTTCTCTTCGCCTCCTCCGCCTGGTTACTTGAGATGACCGGCGTATTCCTATCTTTTCTACGATTTTAGCTACCTCAGCAGGTGAGGGTGGGGAAAACGCCGAGAATCACGTATGTAGCCAGTACGCGACCACTACAAAACTTGCGTACCCCCTGGCAGTTAAATGCATGCATGCTGCCATCCCAACATACATAGATACATACAGATGAATGTATGGCCATTATATACACATGTTTATGCCTGTATACATGGATATGTACACATGTACATACGCAACGTAACTACAAGAGATTTCCGTTTTGGAAAGCCCTCGCTATCTTACGGCACGAGTAGGTGTACTCGCACGATGATAGTCAGCATTCATGTTCATACGCATGAAAATGGTTACCAAGTGTAGCAGCAGCAGAAGCAACAACATCAACCCAATGTGGCATAGCACAGTCGATCACAGAAGCTGCGAAGTGTACTCCCCCAGGTAGTACATAGCCAAAGGCTGGGTCTTCGCTGCAATCACCCAGGAATATCATCACGCTTGCAAGTTTGCTGGAGTCTGTGGTCGAAACCACAAGGGGGATTCGGAAGTTATTGTTGTTTTTCGGCGCATTATTTTGCAGGGAATATCTAGTACAACTGGAGTATGCATAAGTAAAAAAATTTCTGAAAAGACAAAGTGAACCGAACGGTAAAACAATACGGAAATTAACTCACCGGATGAGGGCCTTTTTCAAATTTGTATAACTCAATTCCGAAATATACTGGCAATATTCTACTGGTTTCGAATATAGTGACCGCTTTATATGTATGCACGTGGATATTTAATTGAATGTTTGTGAAAATTGAATAGTAAGTCTTAGTACTTAGTTACACATAAATAAGTTTAGAAGCATTGCCGACGGTAGAAACGACAAATCAATGATGTGTTAGTGAATGTGTTAACGACGAATTCCGTTTTGTAAAAAATCCACAAAAGCACGAAATCTTAAAATCAAACCGCCCAAGTTCAGTAGTAATTTTCACACTGGATTTCCCAAGCAATTTCCGAAGGAAGGTGAATTTCAAAATACAAATACTAAACATAATATTATTAATTTCAATAAATCGCACTTATTGCAGGAATTGGACATGTCATTCCTGGCAACTTTGGATGCTAACGCTTGGCAGGTAATATTGAGCGCGTAACGTATTCATATGCCATAAGATGTGAGTATGTACCGTTACATACATATAGGTTTGATTACTAACTATTGAAAGAAAACGACAATTGCTAAAAATGTGACTGAAGCAGAATGTGTTCTGAGTTTTATGCCTCTTGTGTATAAGCAAATATAAATGCAAATCGAAGTAAATGCGATAAACACAAATACGAGTAAAACCATATTCAGAACTCCATCTCAACGGTTTATTTGATGACGTATATATTTATAAATTGGTATTATCGAAAGCGCTTTACTAATATTCTACTCATTTTGGTGTTTTATAGTTAAAGACATGTATAATTTGTTTGTGAATATTTTTGTGACGACACTGTTAAAACCAATGACAGCGTATGGAAAGAAATATGACACCAACTATTCAAACGCGTCTAGGTAAAGAAGAGGTTCTATTATCAAAATCGAAAGGTTAATATTCATTCGTCAGACAATAGTTATTCCCACGCACCGCCGAAATGGGTTTCCAATTTTAAATTTTACATTTATTTGAACCCTTTGGAGAAAAAAACAAGTTTGAATTTAACAATCCGGCGTTAATTCATAAATTATATATAGAAATAGGCATGAAAACTTCGAATGGATTGATAGTATTGAAGTTATAAGGAATTGAAGTCTTTGCAAAAGTGAGTTGTAGGGAAAACGCTTTAACAAACTGATATAAAAATCGAGGTATGTTAAACAAGTAAGGAAGGTCTAAGTTCGATAATCGACAATTCTTCCGACAATTCTTCCATAAGGGATACCTCAGCTCAAATACCGTATTTGTGTAAAGTTTTATTCCGCTATCATCATTGATTCCTAATGTATATATTATACAGAGAAGGCATCAGATGGAATTCAAAATAGCGTTATATTGGAAGAAGGCGTGGTTGTGAACCGATTTCACCCATATTTGGTACATATCATCAGGGTGTTAAGAAAATAAAAATATTATATACCGAATTTCATTGAAATCGGTCGAGTACTTCCTGAGATATGGTTTTTAGTCCATAAGTGGGCGACGCCACGTCCATTTTCCTTCTTCTTCCTCCCTTTCTTCCGTAAAATTTAGTGTTTCTAACGTCTTTTGTTAGTCAGTTAACGCACTTTTAGTGATTTTCTTAAAAGGGTGCGGGGCCACGCCCATTTTTCCAAAGAAATTACGTCCAAATATGCCCCTCCCTAATGCGATCCTTTGTGCCAAATTTCACTTTAATTTGTTTATTTATGTTAGTTATGACACTTTATAGGTTTTCGGTTTTCGCCATTTTGTGGGCGAGGCAGTGGGCCGATTTTCCCATCTTCGAACTCAACCTTCTTGTGGAGCCAAGAAATACGTGTACCGAGTTTCATCATGATATCTCAATTTTTACTAAAGTTACAGCTTGCACGGACGGACGGACATACGGACAGACAGACAGACAGGCTCCAACTCTACTCGTCACCCTGATCACTTTGGTATATATAACCCTCTTTTAGTTTTAGGACTTACAAACAACCGTTATGTGAACAAAACTATAATACTCTCCTTAGCAACTTTGTTGCGAGAGTATAAAAATAATGGGAATTTGAAATTTTTGCTGAAAATTTTTTTTGGATAGCCTTTAGCTCTTTCAACGATGTACTTTTAATGTCATCCGTGTTTATAAAACGATAATCTTCAAAGTTCTCTTTATTTTGGGAAAACAAGAATGACACCCAACGATGTCTAGCGAATATGGAGGCTTGGGATTCGTTTCAGTGAAGTGTGTGGACTAGAATTCAGCGACAAGTAAAGAATTGTGAACTTTTAACAAATTTATAATTGGATCTACAGAATTCTGGATACAAGCTAAAAAGTATAAAGTTGGTCTGTCTTTTTCGATATATGACTTGGAGTAAATTTTTTCAATTTTCCCAAGTTGAAACTGATGTTGATATAGTCTTTTAAATTAATTTGATATTTTTCTTTATTACTCGTAAAGCATTATTTGTATAAGTGAAGACTATAAATATTGATACCTAGTTCTAATATTTAGCACCACTGATGAGGTTAGTATAAATGTTTAAAAGCTATTTAGTAGTAATGAGCAAAGATCGTTAGGTATGTATGAAAGCTACAGAAGTCCGATTTGGAAAATTTTTTCATATATTTTTGCGTTAACTTGGACAACAATCCGTGCCAAATTTCGTGAAGATATCTTGTCTACTAAAAGTTTTCCATACAAGAACTTAATTTTGATTGTTTAGCTTGTATGGCAGCTTTATGCTTCTTGGGGAGAAAGAGATGTGTGCCAAATTTCAGAGCGATATCTCAAAAACTGAGAAAGGTCATATATAGACAGACAATCGGACATACTGTAAACAAAAAATAATACGAATTTCGTCAAAATATTTTTTTTAGGTTGGTATAACCAAATATCACATCAAAATAATCATTACATAAAGTACATAAGTACATTCGGCGATTTTTACCATCAACAAAGAAGTTCCATTAAAATTAATTTGCGCGCGGAATCTAATTTCTGGTGCCGAAAAGTTTGAAATATTGGAAAAAGCCTTCGCTGAAGATTGTTTGTCATGAGCAAGTGGTTTTGATTGGGTCAAATTATTCTAGAGTGCGTTCAAGATGAACCGCGTCCAAACGCCCATCTACATCAACTGATGATCAACACGTCTATAAAGGAATTGGTTCTTGAGAATCGACGGGTTAAGGTTAGAGATATTGCTGCCATCGTTGGAACATCGGAAGGATCAATGAAAACCGTTTTAAAAGATCATCTGGGCCAAAGAAAAGTGAAGGCGCGATTGGATACAAAATCATTCAATTTTTTCTAAAAAAAAGCGTGGCGTTAACGCTTGTGAAACAATGCTTCCTGACTACTAGGATGTCAGGAAACGTATTATTACTGGTGATGAGTCCTGGATCTATGCTTACGACCCGAAAACAGTCGATCAATCGGCCGAATATCGTGATAAAGATGTGCCGAAGCCGAAAAATCATGTTCCAGCAGGTCAAAAAGCAAGGTTATGTTGACAGTTTTCTTCGATTATAGAGGTATGGTGTACTCCCTTCCAACCGGCCAAACTGTCAACAAAAAATACTATTTGAGTATTCTGCGTCATTTGAGCGAAGCTATTCATAAAAAGAGCAAGAAATTATGGGCGGACAACTCTTACTTTTTGAGCCACTATAATACACCGTTGAAACTGCATCTTCTCTCAAAGTACCGCTCGTACGGGGGGAACCCGTTTTGAGTCAATTGAAGGCTAAACGAGCATTAAAGCTATTCAGGAGTTTTTTTGATGTTCAAAAATTCTTACATTAGATATATGGACGTTATGGGTAGGATTGTCCCGATTTAAAACATTTTTGACACAACACACACATATACTACACACAATGATTTTCGGTTTTCTAGAATAAATTTTACTAATCCGAATATGTCGGTAATTATATGAATTATCTCATAAAATGAAGCGGAAATATTTTCTCCAATATTTTATGATTTTTTCCACACGGCATCTTAGCGCAAAATTTAAATTTGTCTAGACTTAATGTTATTCTTATTTTCTTTTTTTTTATTAACGTGAAATGAAATTGTTATATTTGATAATAGTAACACTAACCATAAGTAGTAGTTATCTATAGTTTTCTTAGCACATCAAAATATAATACTTTTCGCCTTTGATTCTCCCAAATGTCGAAAGTATAAAATATCCAGTTCAGTTAAAATCGATGCAACTTCGTACTTGTGGCTCTGATACTATGAGATGATGTTGATATCGGAGATGGACAAAATAATTTAGGCCATAGCTGAAGATAAATAACTGGATTATAAGGTATCAAAGGAAAAGCATATGATTTCGTTCGTACACTGAGGCAACAGTTTTCAACAATTCCTATTACAAAATGAAATTGTGGAGATTGGACTATAACCACAACTACTAACCATATAACTTTAATGTAGAAGTTTACTAAAAGCTCGATAACTTATTAACAAATATTTTTGGAGATGGTACGGCAAGACGCGTAGGACTCAGAATAAAAATTGGACAAAGTGTTATGTTCAATACACTTTGAGGTGAAATTTCCTATCTAAGAACTGAATAATTCAATTTCAAGTAAATTAGGTGCATAACCTTAACATGGCGTTATTATATGATTATAAAGTGAAACTTAAACAAACCGAACCACAGCATTGCGTACTTCCCATATAACCCAATTTTAAAGTGCATTTGTCCTTCACTTTACAACGTGCAGGGATAAATCAAGCACCAATGAAGATATCGAATAAGACATTGCACAAGTGGTGTACCATTTCTTAAAGTGTGCCATTCCTTGTATAAAAATTGAGGAACTCAAATCATAACTTCTCATACAAATTATGTTAACCTAAGTACTAATATTGGTAACTCGCCAAAACAAACTCTGTGTTTGGGTCAATACCCAATTTTACCGAAAATTAAGATAATTAATACAGAGGAGCTGGGATAATTCGCAGACAGATTTCACACATCTAGGCACGGTATATATGTAGCTAACCAGAAGTTTAACAATCTCTAAAATATGTAGATGGGAACAAGGTGAGGTATTGAGTCAATTTTCATATTAATATAAAAATATTCTGTCTTAATTAAAATAAAGATATGACTCATTTATAGATATTTTTGGTAGAATGTCAGCACATAATCGGTATTTGGGGGTTTGAAAAGTAATGAGCCGATTTCGAAAATGTTTAGACCTGAAATGAGTACCTCAAAGGCGCTATTTATGCAGAGTTTTCTTTCGATAACGTGTTGACTCTTGATATATATGCTGAAGAATTAATGAACCAGCCTTTTTTACCCCATTTTGGGATTAAGAATAACCTGAAGAGACTCAAGAGCTGTCATTTTATCCAGAGAAAACTACGCTTTGGTTTAGTTTGTGTGGAATCATCGGCCCATATTTCTTCAAAAATTGTGCCGGTAAGAACGTCCGTCAATGAC